GTCGAGTCACGAAGCCGGTTTTTATCGGCTCGCTTCTCTTCATCGAGTCAGTCACAAACAGTGCGCAGTTCGGAGCGTGCGTTGCTCATATTTTTACGACGTTTCAAGATATCGACCGAAAAATTCGAGAATGGAAAAACACTTGTTTTCCGGTGAAATACAACGCGATAGAAAAATCTAAATCAATTTGTAATTTAATCTTTCTCCTTTTTCCACGCATGTTTTCACACGGCTACGATAAATAGTGAATCGCAATTTCGATTTCGATCTCGATCTTGATTTCGTTCCATCGTAAGTGCTTTTTTTTTTTTTTTTTCTTCGAAATATTAGTCTCTTATTGCACAAACATTATTTTATTAACATTTTCGTGAACAATGAATAGTAAAATGTATTGAAAAGTATCGCCTTCATGAATATTTTAATGAATATCAGTATTATGAATATCAGAAATCACATGTATTCAATAAAATATTTTTTATTCGCGTTCGCATTACATTTCATAATTATCACTTATTTTCATAACATAAAAAAAATTTTAATTAACATATCTTTATCGCGTAAAGTTTACGGAAGTTAAATATTGTTTTTTTTTTTTTTAGTTATATTATTATAATCATATTTTGAGAAGAAAAATTAATATGGCATGTCAAATTGTTTTATCGTTGATAATAAATTACCAAAAGATATATAAACTGAAAGAAGTTATAGAAACCTGAAAAACTAGACAATCATGGAATATTATATCTTCTCGTATAAATATCTGGTAAGTAGATATCTTTCTTCTTTTTTTTTTTCTAATATTACTCAACGAAGTATTTTACTTGTTGACAATGAAATTTCATATCAGTGTTATTATACACCGCTATAAATAATCGTTCATCTGAAATTTAAAGAAAATATCCAAGTGATCATTCGCATTTAACGTTGGATGTTAACTCAATTGGATGGATTGTGTAGAGGGGTCATCAAACCATTATTAAACAATAGGTTTAAAATGGCATGGCGCAATATCGTATTCTTTGTCCCTTTGTAATTGAAGCACGTGTACCATCTTTAATATACTTATATTAAAGATATAAATATATAATATAATTGTATTTAGAAATTTTTAAATCACTCGAATTCGTATTATTAAAAAATGATTATCTTATTGAGTGTAGCGATAGTGATATCGTGCGATTAGAATGTTAATCGTTTCTCTATTTTCTTTTCGTTTAATTATAGATAAATTTCTTTTAAACATAGAACTCGTAACTTCTCAAAAACTTTTTGCGTAATTTCATATTTTATCTTTTTACAGCTTGTATATCTTGAAAATCATACAATGTAATCCTATGATTTATGATCAATATTTAATTTCAAATAATTTATACAAATAAAATTTAAAGAATGCGCAATACGATTTTCTATTCTATTCTTTCGAATAAAATTTTCCCAATTATTCTAATTAAAAAAACTAATTACTAATTATTCCTCTTTAATTAATATCTCATGATTAATATTTTTAATCTAAATTTTATCTAATCAAAAGTCCATTAAGCATCGATATATCATTGTCAATCGGTAAAATACGAAAAGATCAAAGAGGAATTAATCTATCTCAGATGATCAACGAAATAATCTTTTGCTTTGTTATACCTTATATAAATACTTATAATTCGATTCGATCCTTCTCTAAATTCTCTTTTCCGATGAAACAATATTCATTCCTTTTAATAACAAAATACAATTTTACACACACGATCGTAACTTTTTATAAGAAGAAATTTGTTTAACACACAATATAACAACAATATAAGCAAGAACGAAAAACGATCGAGCATTGGAACGGTTCAACATCTCGATTCGATTTATGCTCGCGGAACTTGTAAACAATTTGCTTACTCGTATATGTGTGCGTGGGCGTACACGTCTAACACTTATCCAACCTTAGAGCAGCGTATCTTATCATTTGTCCAATCCCGCCTTTGTATTTCGGTCGACACGTTAAAGTTTGCAGTCTGCCACCGGCTTCAAGGCGAGTCGAAGGAAACGAAGGCAGAACGACATCTCCTTCTGCATGATCCTTCCGTACAAGAAACGTGTAACGTGGATGTAGAAGAGGAACACTAATCCCATGATCATGATCGATAAGATGTCACACGGTGAAACTGATAGAGGATGGGCGTGGATAATAGTCGCCGGTGTCACT